TTTTTGACAAAAACGACATGCTATAGTATGACTTTTTTTATCAGGACCAAATACATAATGTGCCTTTTTTCCAGAAGTACCTTCCTAAGCTGTCTTTAGACACATTCAGAACATTCAATGTTTTGATATATCAAGCTAGAAAGTTCATGGACTTCATTATAAATATCGATAGTTTGTTCTATAAAGTTTTCAGACAAATCAGATGGTTCAGCAGAAGGCCTCCGACGATTTGTGATGGAATAACTATTTTTGGTTGTAATGGCAAATTCGGGGAGAAGAAAAAGGTTAAGAGAAAAACGAGTCCCAAACCATAAATTAGAACTTTGTTTCTGTATCTTTATTATAATTCTAACAATTTATTATCTCTTAAAACATTTGAAATTCATATATATTTATATGAATGTGTGTATATGCATATCACATATACATATATATTCTGTAAGTTACCTTTCATCAGTTCATATTCTCATTTTTTAAAAGATCTCTTAAAGGAAAAGAAATGCTTTCTATAGAGTCAGACCGATTCCCTCTGATCTGAGCTTTTTCTCCTGACACCAGCGATGAGCCGTCACCCTTGATTACAACTACTAAATGCAAAGAAAGGCTTAAAAAAGATTTCTCACCAGTCACTAAACGAGAAGATCATTGTATTAGCGAGAGATGTTTTTTTTTTGTGTTAATAATAATTTCTTATCCAGAGTTCTTAACTGGCCCTATTTACACTAGCAAACCTTTTTAGAGACCTGATAGAAAATGCAACGAATGTGGAGCCACAATCTGCTTGTTTCTTTCTCAGATGCGTGAAAATTACTTCAAAACCTCTAAAGGGAAATGTGAAGAGTCACGGTTGCTAATGGAAATAGGGTCATTGCATAATATGCTGGTAATAAACAATGAGCTGTGAGCATACTGGCACATGTTAGCGACTGCAGAAGGTGCTTTGTACAAACGAGAGGATGCAAATGGCGAGTGGAGCTCTTAACGCTGGACGGGGGGCAGATGCAGAGAACGGGTCGAACTGTATAGAAAGCAGAATAGTTAAATAAATACATTGTACCTTTTCATTGTTAAACATTATTTGGAAGACAGAGATTCTTTAGAACTTTTTGAGACTTTTTTCTCTCTTTTTTTTTTTTTTTAACATCTTAAACCATAGTTAGGTGACCATTATTTTCATCGTCCTTATTGCTATTTCCCTTTGCGTTCAACTATAATCTCTCCTAAACCGTCAGTACAGAGCAAATACAAAAACAAATCACCTCTAGTAACCTTATCTGGTTCACATTTATAGCCTGTGTGTGTCTATATATATATATGTGTGTGTGTGTGCACGTCGAGCAACATGATCTATGAAATCTTTTAATCTTTCGGCAAAAATAGACTTGAGGATAGCAGAGGCGGGAGGGGAGTGAACTCGCCATCGACGCCCTGATGTAAAATGCACGTTTGATATGTGTTCATGGACTCAAAAGCAGCAGGAGAGGTGAAGCGTTGTTCAAGGTAGAGAGGTCATGAGAGAGCCCTTATATTTGATCTCAGCAACAGTAAGACGAGCAGGACTTGGCGTATGATGGGATGTAAATGTGCCATGAGAGCTGATAGGGGAAAAGAAAGATTTCAGAACAATACGGTGACTAAGAGAATATTTAAATGATCAATCAAGAAGGGGGGGCTGTTGTCCAGAATTGAAATAAATCATTTATATTATTCCACTTGTATGAATCATGGGCATCAGTTGCTACATTTTACAGCATTAACTTTTTAAGTGAAAAATTATATTCGTAGGTTTTAACATGTGATTTTAGATTAAAGCTTCACAGTCTGACAACATTTAAAAAAAAAAACAATAAGGAGAAAAGATGTTGGAAAATGTGCTTCACATTTAGTTGCAGTGCTTCTCGTCACATAGAAGCAATGTTCAGGGTACAGTGCACCAATAACACAGTGTGCATCTTTCAATTCAAAAATACATATACATATATTTATATATCTATTTATTTATAACCATGACGATTATCTTCACTATTCGCCATCATAGCCACCAAAGGCAGAAACCGAGACTCTCTGAGGCTGTAATAACAGTAAGGACGATGATAGTAATGATAAAAAGTAACAATAAATCTCTTCATATCAATATCCAGTATTCCCATTTAAAGTTTAAAAATTGTAAGAACAATCATAGTATTAAAACTCGATATAAGCGTTTTTCTCTCGGATCCCCCTCGGCCCGGGTGGCTGCGTGTTTCCTCCTGGATTATGTCGAGAGAGAGAGAGAGAGAGAGGGAGGCCACTCCTGGAAGGAGCAGGGGGGATTGGGTGGGAAAGAACAAGAAAATGGCAGTTTTTACTCTTCCCCTCCCCTCTCCTTTCCAGTCTCCCTCGCACAGAAGGTTCTGAATGAGTGTACAACATTTTGCCTTGACGCCGAGAGAGTCTTTCTCGGTAAATAAAATCCTCTGGAAGATTTCTCTCCGCATTGTCACAAATCCCCGTCTAACAGTTGAAAGCACAGTCTGTCTCCTTTTTGTGTAAGTACATCTTGGATCCAAACATAGTGTGTGTCTATATATAAGGTGTCCCATAAATTCTAACACAAACACTGGTAAGTGCTTGTGTTTATCTGTGTGTCTACATGTTGGTGTATGCATGCAGGCATGTATAGTAGTAACTTGGGTGCCTGTGTGTGCATATCAGTGTGTCTATTTATTTTTTTATGTTGTTGGTCTGGGCACTTATTTTTGCTACAAATTTGTGATACAGTGACCAGTCTGTATATATGTCATTATAAGACTTAAGATGATAAAGAGCTATAGAGAAACACATATGATCCTGCTGACAGGATCTGCAGTGAGGACAGAGCCCTACCAGTGGTGAGGTAAAAACAAGACGTAACCGATCAAAGCCACAGCGAGCCGCCTCGGCCTGAACCGAGGACACGAGTTTTTCCATCTGCGCCTTCGTCACCTCTAAAAGACGTGGAAGCTGTCGTGATATACTGCCCTGCGTCGCCCTACGTTAAATAAAGCCTGCACACACTCACCCTCAAGTACTCATGTTTTAAAAGCAGCATCCACTCACACAGGGAGGGGTGGTCAGTGATTGCACGCTAAATATTCTTGTTCTTAAACCTGAACAGATTGAACCCGCCAGCTGAGGGGCAAGAGGATGACTGCATGACAGAAGACACCTTCATCGTAGCCAACAATACAACCTGCTCAGATTTTTAGGAAATCTAACCGGCTTTTATTGTTCCTCTTAAGTATTTGGTTCGGTTTCATCTCTTGTAATCTCTGCTGCAGCCATAGAGTCTTCGTACACATTTTGGATGAGAGGGTGTTTGTGTTACTCGTGTTGATTAGTGTGACCGTGCATGCATGTATGTGGGGAGTGCACTTGTGTAAATCAGCCTGGCACAACTGGAGAGCGCCAGACGGTGTCTTTATGGATCGTCAGTCCTTCTTCCATCCCCGTGTTCCATCTCCCTTTGGGACTCGAGTCCCTCTTTCGGTTGCTCTCGGTGTGAAATCTGTTCCCCCCTCATTTGTTGTGTGAATCCACCATGGATAGCAGCAGTTGTGTCTTCCTCCCTCATTGACTTCAACCCCTCCTTCCGTCCCTCTGTGCCTCTCTTTCTGTCTCTGCATTTGCAACCTCAGCTTCGACTCCCGTCGTCCCTCCTCCTCTCAGTCTGTCCGTCCCGAGGTGAGAGAACAGAAATGGGAAACGGGCTGCTGGACAGCCTGCGGACAAAAGAACAGACACAGGACACGCGTGATGTTTGAGGCTATTTGTGAGAAGACGATGAAACGTGTTTGCTCTTTCATCGCGTAGCTGTGAGTTGTTCCACTGTATGAGTCACGCTTTTAAAACGAAGAGAATCATTTGTTCATTAAGAATCTACGGTGACGCTTGTAATGGTTACAGGCAACATGAGTAATAAGACTGGGAAAATGTTGGTCATCACACTCTTGACGCCTCAAGAATTTGTCAATGCACAGTTTAAGGTAGAAAAAGGGCCGTCACCAAAAACTAACGAGACAATCACTGATTAGACCTTAGTGTGGCTTTATAGTGCAGAAAGAGGGTGCTGCTGTTTAGTGAAAATGAATCAGAAGCTTTTAAAGGGGTGGTTTGGTGTCTTTGACGTGGGGTTGCATGTGAAACTTATCAACATGTATTTTAGTCACCTAAAGAAATTCTATACGGGTTTAGGCGTGTGCTATACATAAAGTATTTTTACAGTTTTATCTTGTCGTCAGAACGTTCCGATGGGAATCTGAAACTTTTATAGAGCTCTTTGCTCTCGTCAAAGCAACAAAAGCAGTAGTCATGGAACACGGGAGCGGCTGGTCTACTGCTGCATTTGGCTGAACGATGTGGGAGAAATGTCTAACCGCAATTTTTCCTGACAGATATTGTCATTTGATTTGTCATACAATTTTTTTTTTTTTTCAAAAGTCAAACTTCCGTTCAATATTCACTATGCAAATGGATTTAAAATGAGCATTACCACATGAGACAGCATCAAATGTGCGACTGTAAAACAAAGAAGAGAAACCAGTGAACAGCTTAAACCCTGGGTCAGATGTGCTACACGACATTTATGCAACCTTTGTGACTTGTGCTGCATTGTTTATCGCATGGACAATTTAGATTTTTTAAATTGTTCTGCCCGACTGCTGCCTTGATCAATTTGTTTGTGCTGTTGTGAGACTTTAACACGTTACTTCAAAACTAACATATTAAAACACCAGCAACACGTGCTCTCTGAGGTCAAACGATTGATTCGTTAACAGAGTTTGGTGGCTTTGACAAGAGCAATAAACTTCTTCAGTTCCCTGCTGGAAAGGCTTGTAAAGCTTCAACTTATCTTAAACTTTCTTCAGATGGGCTTTTATAAAGTGGCTAAAATATGTTTTGTTTCCGACGCCGTCCACACTAACACACTGCTCAGGATCCTTGCTGCTCCTCCGTCTGCTTCTCTAAAGTGGAGGCGAACTTGTCGACATCTGTCATCCGTCAATCTTGGCACATTCTCAGGCGAATAATTTACACATTCCTGCACACTGCAAATATTTCTGTTACTTTACAAGTGCTTACTCAAAGGGACTCGAAAGGAAACTGGTTTTGTTGGGTTTCTCTACATACGTTTTGTCAGGTCTTCACGTTACTATGTGAAGTGCCGTGATGTGACATATATGTTGTGAATTGGCGCTATAGAAATAATCCCTCGGACTTACATCACCTGCTGTTTATATGTATTCACAACACTTGCTCTTTTTAGAAATCTTTCTCAAATTCCTTGGATGTGCAATCTGCTAGGCAATAAAATAACAAGCCTTCTGGTTCTGATCTATAGTAGGTCATACACTGACTGTGGCTCAGTACCTCATACAGCCCCACTTAAAAGAAACCAAACTATCCCTTTAAGGAGTTTAAGGTGAGGGCAGATGATGAAACAAGAAACTGGCCAAAGGAAAATCATTTCCAATTTGTTTATTTGGAATGGAAGAATATCTAAAACAATGTTTAGCGTACTGGAGTAAAAGATGTGTAGTTTGTTACAATCACAATGACCTCTGTCTTCTGTTTCATATTTGGATCAATGCAGGGAGATTCAAGGTAAAGAGAGGTCAAAGGAAGCTTGTTTCTCCCACAGAAAACACTGCTCCTTACCTTCCTGAAACACCTCGTTTGAAGTCCCAGCTTTTCTTTACTTACTTATGTCACCATGTACCACATTTGCATAAAGTGTGGCCAGTTTGGCACAGCCTTAAACAAAGAATTAGCAGCTTTCTCGCAATCCGCCATTATTTTCTCACTTCTACTCGGGCTACATCTCTCTGCCTACACTCCTGCTCTGCGTTCCAAATCTCACTCAGTACACACTGCAGCTTAAAAAGTATGTACTGTTACGGGTAGTATGCATACAACTGGGACATGCTACTTTATCCTAATATTACACCTTAAACTTTTACCGTCTTAAGCTGTCATCTGTCGCTGCTCTCTCAGAGGCTCAAGCTTGTTTATACTCATACCAGACACTGATGCGGTGACATATGCGGTGTAGCTTTCAATGCTCAAAGGATTGTTAGTCAAAATGGCTGGAAAAGCATGCTGGCTTGCATACTGCAAAATATTACTGGATGTAGTAGGTAGCGCTGAACAATTAATTGATTTTAAATTGAAAATGTGTTTTCTACACATTTGCATATTCACTAATCACAAAGGTTGCAATTGACGGTGTTTGCTCTGCAGCACACTTGACCCAGGCTTTAAGCTGTTGTGTCAGTAGTTTTTTAAAAAGTGATGCTGCCCTGTGTGTGTGTGTGTGTGACAGTCACACTTTTGATTGTGTGCAGTGTTCAAGCTGCATCACATTTTAAATCTATTACACTGTGAATACTGAACTGAAACCTGTCTGAAAAACACATCGCAAATCAAATTGCAGTATCTGTTTTTTGGAATACTTTATTTAAGATTTTATTTATTGGGAAATAAAGTAGTATATTATGTTAGTATGGATATTGGAATTCATCTATAGATCTAGGGTTGAAGTATGTAATCAAAGTTACCTCACTTTCAGTGGGCCATCTGCCCGAATAGAGAGGGTTGGGGTTTTTGGTAAGGGGGACCTAAAGATACTCAAGTGTTTCAAAGAGAGGTGCCAATATTATGCACATTTAAAGGTTCATAACTGTATTTTTGGGTCTACTAAAATATGTTTACATGCTTTAATGTGAACAAATCACATTATTTTTAGCAGCAGCTTTTCTTAGCCTTTGTCTGAAATGCTTCATTTTCGCTGCTGTCTCTTAAGGACCCTGCTGCTGAAAAAATTAGTTTGCTCTATTTGGACCTGATGTACAGGAGGTAGCATTGGTTACGTACCTTAACCCTAAATCTATAAGTAGAGGCAGAGAGGCCTTGCAGAAGCAGCTTTAGTAAGGGAATTATGGCGGCCTGTGAGAGAGTTTTCCATTCTGTTTGATGGTGTGCCAAAGTAACCACAAGGCAGGAATTATGCTAAATGTATTACACGATGACATAAATAAGAAACTGTATTAAAGCCCAGTCATCTCAACCGGTTGAGGCTGATGGGTATCTTCCCTGAGCCTCGTTCTGCTGGAGGTCTGTTACTGTTATAAAGGAAGTTATGCTTTTCCACTTGCAACAATATGCTGGCTCAGAGGAAATCTTTGGATTCTTTGTTGTCGTTTTTTGTCCTGTATAAGGTTGAAGTTTATTAACCTTCATCACTCATGTAATTTGGTACAGTATATAATATTTCAGGGCCTTAACTTTAATATAAAAATTAGTCATGCAAAATGATACAGTGTACAATATTGCAAGGGCGTACCCTCAATATTTAAATTAATCAGCCAAATTTGTATAATATACAACATTGTAGGATTGTAACCCTAATATGTGATAGTCAGGTAATTTTTTTGTTTTTAAATTTAGTATTGTAGAGTCCTAACCTTAATATTACTCAGGCAAATTTGTATTATAACCATAGCATTAAATTATTCAGATAAATTTGTTTCATATACATTATTATAGGGCCTTACCCTTTATATTTGAAGTATTCAGGAACATTTGTATAATATACAATGTTGTACAGCCCAAACTGCAATATTTAAATGACTTGGGCACAGTTATATAATACATAATATTGTAGGGCCCTAACCTTAATATTTAAATGACTTAGGTACATTTGTATTATTTACAGTATTGTAGTGCCCTAACAGTAATATTTCAGTGACTTGAAAGGTGACAATATTGTAGGGCCTTAACCGTAATATTCAAATTAGTCTGGTAGATTTTTGTAGGGCCTGAACCTTCAATTTAAATTCATTCAACTTTTTTCTGTATTATACATTATTGTATTGTTTTAACCTAAATATTTAAACTCGTTAGGTCAATTTGTAATGTCAATAGACACAAATGCTTTCTATTCAAAACCATTTGGGGTAAGTGACTTGTTTTAAATGTGCTTTATAATTACCAGTGACTCGACTTCAAATTAGGTGCTTTAGGCAGGGAAGGAGCAGTGTTTTCTGTGGAAGTGAATAGCTCTCACTGCAAACCTTCAACATGCACAAAAAAAGTTAAATAACATATTTGAGGACCGATAAACTCCCAAAAAGCATAATATGGGCTTTTTAAGAAGCTGCAAATGTGTCTTTCAGCTGCCATACCTGTCCATTACTGTCCTCAGGGCTCGTTCTATATTCATGCGGTGACCCACTCGTGTCACACCCAAATCCAGATAGTCGTCCTTGGTCAGGGAGGGCAGGTGGGTGCCATCAATCTCATTGTCCAGGAAACGCTCTCTGTGTTCACCCAGGTTCAGGTACCCCAGCCAGTCAGCAACATCATACTTGGTCCAGTAGGGCAGCGGCTTGGAGGCAAAAGGCTTCGTAGGGGAAGGGGGCGGCAGATGGGGGTAACTCAAGCAGGGAGGTGGAGGGAGGGGGTGCAAGGGTGGTGAAGAGGTCCCAGACAGGAAATGAGTTGGAGAAAGGGATCGAGAAACAACTAAGGTTGAGTTTGGAGGAGGAGGTGCACCAGAGGGGGCAAACAGGGGGGGAGAGGGAGAGAAATACGGATCTCCAAGAGGGTTTCCAGGTGATGGTGGGGTGATTGAACCTCTGAGGTCATAGATGGCACTATATAGAGGTGTGGTAGGAAGAAGGGGAAGGGACGATGGGCGTGGTGGGCCCAGCTTGGGCCTCTCTGATGGGGAGATGAGGGGGCTGGGTGCTCGCCTACGCTGGAGGATGTGTGATTCTGCTTTACGGGACTCACGACTTGGAATGAACTGGAATTCCAGGGCTTTGGTCCGGTACACAGGTCTGTGTTTGGGGGAGGTAGGGTAAGGGGAATAAGATGTCGGGGACAGCGGGGAATGTGAACGTGGAGGCTGAACAGCTGCTGGAGGCTGAGGAGACGGAGATCGTCCCCAGTTGGGGTACTGGGAGGCAGGAGTGGGGGACGGAGATAATGATGGTTGTGATAACGAGATTGGAGACGGTGACTGAGATCGAGCTGAGGGGGGGCTCAGAGCTGAGGCTGAGTCTTCTGAAAATCTGTGAATACAAACAGAGAGAAACTATTGCAGAAGAAAAGCAAAAATCAGAAAACCATGAGATAAAAAACATGCACACACACTCTAAGGGAAACACTGTCCAGCTATTTTTAGAACCTGTGGATGTAAATTGTTTCATTCTGTCAACATTTTCTAAGTGTAACATGGTTTCCTCTCCCTCCTTACAGTCTCACAACAGGCTGTAAATTCAAGCAGGTCAAAGTTTTATGTTCTTCCAGACAGAAAAACAAAATAGAGTGGAAGTGGCTCTATTACCTGTTTCTGCTTCTGAGTGAAACACATGGAAAAAGCCAGAGAAATAAAGAGAGGTTTACACAGTATAGACACAACACACACGAGACATGAACAGACGATCCACAGACTTTTCACTGAAGGCTTGAACATCAGTTGTGGCACGTATAGAATTCAAAGGTGCCACACTGATGTATTCACATAAGTGAAACACCAATAGAATGGCCATGTTAAAAGCAACAAAAAATGTAATTTATGCTGTAACATAAACAAACTAATGCTAACAAGTATTATCAAATAGTTACCTGTGTCTGCTCAGGGGTCTCTGGCTGCTCCAGCTGTCCTTGCCTCTCTGCTGCAGTTTGCTGCTCAGCTCGTTGATGATGCTGGGCTTCATACTGGATGCCGGAGGATAAATCTTCTTTCCCTCCAAAAGCGACTGGCCGTCACCGGACATCTGACTGTCGCCCCAGAGGGGCTTCATCTCAGGAGTGCGTGGCCGATCAAAGTATGGTGAAGTGGGACGTCCTAAGTTCTGCATGTCCCTTACACCATAACCATCCTGGCCACTCTCATCCTCTGTCACTCCCTCCTCGAGCTCGTCGTCATCCTGTTCATCTCTTCGTCTGTGGGAGTGGAAGGATGGAGGAGCAGTGCTGGTCTGTCTGTGTAGCTCCCCGGCGCGACCTCCCTCTCTGTACCTGTTGGTTTTAGGGTAAGTGGAGGCTGCTGCTGTGGCATTCTGCATCTCAAAAGTTTGTCCATCCAGATAGCTCATGTAAGATTCCAGAAAATCTCCTCCCCTGTCTGTTTCCCCTGTCCCACCTCCCCCTCCCATCCGTCCTCCAGCTCCAACTCTCTCTCCTCGGTCCAGTCTGTCTCCCCGGACACCGGCTCCACTTAGAGCCAGGATGCTGTCCAGGTGATGGTCACTGCTGCTGCGGCTGTCCAGTTCTTCAATCCCAGAGTCCACCACGGTCTCCTGGGACTCTCCTTTCTTGGTAGTGGGGGGAGGACGGTGGTGCTCCCCTGCCCTGCGACCTCCCATGATGCCGGTGGAGGATGTTGTATGTGTTCGCTCCTGGTAGAGCTGAGTGGAGGTGCTTGTTGTGGTGGCAGCAGCGGTGGTTGTAGCAGCACAGCTAGCGGTCGTGGCATGGGAGGCAGTGCCCCTATGTGGGACAGAGGTGGCAGCAGTGGAAGAGGGTGCTTGGGAACCACGGTAGGCTGGAGGAGGTGCGACTGCATGTGGGGGAGGCGTGGGTGAGGAGCGCCCGGGTGTATGTGTGCTGTTGTAAAGGTGGTGGGACATAGAGAAGGGTCTGTGGTAGGATCCAGGAGGAGGTGGGGGTGAGACTGATGGAGGAGGCGGAGGGCCTGAGGTGGGCTGTAGAGTGGAGGGTGAGGGAGGGGGTGGTGGGTTGGGTGATGTCTGTGACGGAGAAGGAGCAGACTGAGTCAGGTTTGCCACTTCACTGTCGTAAGATGTGAGGCTAGAGGCGGTGGAGTCTCCTGCCTGAGGTGAGGGCAGGGGTGTATGAGCAGGAAACCCACTTACAAATTGTTCTTTTTGGGGGGGTGGAGGGGGTGGCGGTGGTGGGGGAGGAGGAGGAGGTGGAGGGGGTGGGACTTGCTGTTGGCGGGAGGCCAGGCTGTTGGAGAGCATCCCGCGTTGAGCGTATCCCGATATTCCCCTGTCAAAGCTGTTAGCAAACTCTAACGGAGGTGGGAGGGGGTCTGCATACACAAATTCATCATCTGCATCAACTGAGGGGGCAGGAGGGGGAAGAACCATCAGGCCGCTCCCAGTGCTCCCAGTAGTGTTCGCTGTCTGCTGTGTACCGGTAGGTGGAGGAGAGGGAGGTGTGAGGGACAAGATATAGGCATCAGCTTGACTTTCCATCCTGAGAAAAGACGGCCTGCGAGGCTGCTGAGACTGAGATGCCTGCTGAGCAGCGCTATCAGCAGCAGCTGCATTAGCCGCAGCCTGCTCTGCTCTCCTCATGTAACCTTCTCTCTCTTTGTCCCTCTCCCTCTCTCTCGATAGCTCCCTCTCCCGTTCCCTTGACCTCTCCCGCTCCCTCTCCTTGTAGGTTGGTTGATACGGCTGTGACTGATAGTGGTGTGTGTGCACCGTTTTGTCCTCAGAGAAGCGAACTCTCAGCCCCTCACGAGCCCCTCCTCCTTCCCGCTCCCTCTCCCCTCCACCACCTTCCTCACCCCAGACACTCCCGACTCCTCTGAGGATTCTGGGTGAGGGTGGCCGGCCAACAGTGGGCGTGGTGGCAGCCAAGGAAGAGGAGGTGACCAGGTAGGAGCTTGAGGACTGGGCAGCGGACGACACTGGCTGAGAGGTGACAGTAGACGAAGGAAACACCACACTCGACATCTGGCGCGTGAAATGGTGCTCTGTTCGACTTCTTAACCTGCTGTCATCCCTCAGAGCTCGTTCTCTGGCAGCCAGGGCAAGACCTAGTGGGGATGTGGGGTCAAGAGCCTTCCCTGTTAGAGGGTGAATGAAGGTGGTGGTAGTGGAGGGTGCTGGCTGTCTGCCTGCTGCTGTGTACAGATCAGTAGGCACAGACTTGGGCTGATAGTCCAGGGCAGGTGAGGAGTACTCAGGAAGGCCAAAGGCGGGGGGCATACTGCGAGTGTGATGGATGAAGGTATCACCAGAAAACATGCCTTCATCAATGGACTTTGACGGGCGCAGCCGTGTTGATGAACTTTCAGCCTGTGCGCTAAGCTGTTGCTGTGACACCTGAGTCCTTGTTACTCCTCCTATTCCATCACTTACCCCCCCAAGACTCACATCCTCCTCAGCAGACATGAACAAGGAGGCACTCTTTCTGCGGGCTTCATGGAACCGCTCCCTGTCTCGGCGAGCTGCACCAACAATGGCAGCCCCAAACTGGCTGGTAAAGTCCAGGTTATCCTGGGCTCGCATAGAAGGCAAGGATGGAGGCGGTGGAGCTGGGATGGACGGTGGAGCAGGGGGCTGTGGAGCAGGAGTGGACGGAGGAGGACCATGCGGTGTTTTGACTTCATCTGCTTCTCCTGATGCAGGAACATCAGCCTCCACACTGCTGCCCTGACTGCTCCGTCCACTGCTGCTGGTTGAAGGGGCCTTGACGATAATAGTGGGGATCGGGATGGAGCTTTTCTCCACTGAGCCTTTGCCCCCCAGTGTACCCTGGCCCATGCGTAGGTCCTCTACCTTAGATTGCTTTACCAGAGGACCCTTACCTCTCCGGGCCCCTCCTTTAGGACCACCCGCTCCAGCCCCAGCTGCACTGCGGTCTGCACGCTGGGGTTGACTCTGGGTAGTCTGTTGTTGCTGGGGCATTACAGTGGCAATGCTGGATGGGGGGACGGCAGTGCTGTAGCCTCTCCTAAGACCTGCTGCCTTGGCTCCTGCACTTGCCCCTATCCCAGCTCCAACAGGCTCCCCAGTATAGGCAACCTTCCGCGAAGCAGTCCTGCTTTGAGCAGTGTGGGCAGTTGCATGTGCATACGAGGTGGTGTGGTCCGCCGCTCCACCACTGGGGCCGGTGCTGGGACCACCCGCCCTCTCCCTGCCTCCATGGGTGAAGTGCACTGCCTGGGAGTAGGGCTGGTAGTGTGCAGAGGTGGATGTGGACTGGGACACGGAGACAGAGGGCTGCTGGGATGACTTTGCTCTCCAACCAAGTGGCGGAGCAGAGGAAAATGGAGGATCCGGTGGAGCTGTGGTGGGAGGAGGAGGGATGTCGTCTGGGCCAGGCACCGACAGACTCCGTGCAAACTTCATGGCTGGAGGATGTAGGAACTGCTTCTCCTCCTCAGGCACCCCTACAACATTCACAAACAAAGAACAAGTATGAGTGAAAGAGGGATTTACAGACGGAGGAAAGTGAGACTCAGAGAGGCTGAAGAACAAGGGAAAAAAGAAAAGTTTTCTGGGGAATAAGTAAGAGTGTCTGTCTAAATCTGCCTGCCCAAGTACCTGCCAGCAAGTCTGTCCTCAATACTTGTGTTTGTTAGTATACAAGTCAGTTAGTGCTACATATTCCACAAACAAGTAGCAAATAGGCAGCATTGCACAGCAGAATTTGTTTTGGTCACTTGAGAGGACATAACTATTTCTGAGGGAAATTAGCAAAGCCTTAGTAAGCAACAAACCAGAAAACATCTTATCAAAATAAGATAACAAGGAGATTAGTGGAACTGCGCTATGTAACAAATAGTAGTAGGGTGAGTATATAACAAACAAGCATCTTATTTTTCTACTACAGGTATAGAGTGACTTTAACGAGTAAGTGTAAAGCGTACAATCAGCTACAGATAAAGTGCACAAATTTTTGGCCACAGACAAGACATTGTCGGCTACAGACAAACAGGTCAGCACAGCATAGACCTCTACTGGCCCAGAGGACAGACAGACAGGCAGACAGAGGGGCAGACGGAAAAAACAGACAACCTCACCGATGGATTTCTGCCGCAGCATACCGTGCTGTGGGGCGTGACCTGAGGTGTACTGTCCACGCTCATAGCCCAGGCCCAGCCCTGACGACATCATCCCCATCCCAGACTGATCCCCATAGTTTGGCTGAAATTATAAAAGTCAAGAGCATGTGAAGGAGAGCACAACACACTGTAGTAGGAGTCATGAAAACCAAACATACAATATAGGAGAGGACTGAACACCTAAAATAATAGAAGAGATTATAATCTGGGAAGAGCAGCAGTTTTGATTTAGTGTTAATTTCAACACAGCTTCATGAAGGTTCGAACAAGTCAAGAATAAAAGACTGATAGCGATTTCTAATTTTGTCTGTCTGTTTATACAGGAATCTACTTATCAATTGGTACAGTTGTGGTTCACTTAGCAACATTTTCATGTCTTTAAATATAACACAAGATGCTGCCTTAGACATTACCATGTTAAAAATCGTTGGATGACACATATCCACACACATTGGTTGTAGTTAAGAGGCCACATGATACAGAAACAAGTCAACAAGTACGTATATGTAACAATACAGGTCTAAACTTTTAGAGTTTCCTGTTGAATCCACCAGTGGTCTCAAGTTTTGCTTTGACATTCTTTAAATGTATGTACTCAATATACTTCTATAGATCTATTTTTGCTGGATAGGCACAACCTAAAAAAACAAACAAAAAAAAAACCCAGTCATCACAGGAACATACATTTCTATCTTAGGACCATAGATTTTATATAAAAGATGGACGTTTCCACCAATGCTTGAAATTTGCCCACTGTGTGTGACATGTGAGGGGTAGATTTGTCTCAGAACTCTTATCAGTTACTTGTCAACGAAAAGGTGCCCCCCTCCCTCAAACATTTCCTGCTTTATCATCTATTTTAATCGAAATGGAACCATTATTTAATAAATGAAAACCATGGTGATAGGCGATAAAGGAGACTCAAAACTACCAATTGAAACTATAAACTGATTTGGAAAATCACTACTGAGGTAATAAATAAAGTCAGAAGTACATTCATTTTCTCATAAACCTCTATACAATCTGACTTCTTTTTCAACCAGCGGAGTTGTCAGAAGAAAAAAAAAGGCAGGTTTAGGGTTCAGGGACTTCTGTTTTACTTTTCAGACTCAGAGGCTACGTCCATATTTTATATACACTTTATGATCAAAACCTGTATTTTGTTTTTCTAGGGTGGCCAGGGGAAACCTCATGAATATTAATTTGAAAAGTGCTACCTGATTGGTCGATGAATGAAGATGTGAGGACTGAGATTGGTTAGAAATAATAAGAATGTTAGGATTGGTTAAGGCTTCGCTAAAAATGTCAGGGTAAGCCGAGCAGAGGCAGAATAGGACGTTTTTGACTTCCTGCTATATTAAAACTCATGCTCAGGATACATGTAAATCAACTGTGGCATGTGTCGCGATACACACCTCATTGCCATAGAAACTTCTTCCCCTGTCTCGTTTTGGCCCCTGTCCCCGTGTCCCTGGTGCTTCATTGGTGCTGATTGTCTGCTGAGCTGCTGCAAGAATTTCATCTAGTTTATCTGAGAGGAAAAAAAGGGGAGAAAGAGACAGACAGGGAGAAACAGAGAGAGAGAGAGAAAGGGACATACGACAATGAAACAGAAAAATGGACGGCAACAAAACGAAGGAAACAGTATGTGGAAAGGGACACACTTGATGAAGGTGGATGAAAAAGAGAGGGAGAGATTCAGGAAACATCCACTGACAAACATGAGCTTCCTTACTCAGAGCCATCTGATAGACTGTCCTCTTCTTCTCTGTAACTTGGGAGGATTCGAATTCTAAAAGAGGAGAAACACGGCATACGTCCAGTAAGACACTGAGTGGCGAGTGCCAAGTCGTTTTGGACAGACATAAATACAATGCCTTAAGCGGGAGTGCACCAGAGCATACCTGATTTTTTTTTCCAAGGGGTAGCAGCTGGAAGGAGGACAAAAGGAGACTTAAGTTTTGGCAGGAGTGAAAGTGCGATAGTGTTGTTACAGTGAATACTAATCATATTCCCCGGAGCCTGACAAACTGAGTCACCTCGTCAGGCTTTTCGATCTTCGATGTAAAAGAGCGTACATAACACCCACACTTTAAGACAGCTGAAGCATGCACACTCATGGTACAGTAAATATGCTGCACACACACAGTATGCTTCTTGCAGTTACTCGCTTTAACACACACAAATGTGGAATTAGTCTGAAGCTGACTCCCACCTCTTTCCACTGTTAAATGGTTAAGATCCCGTCAGCGGTGAAGTGAGGACAAAGGAGACAGAGAAAAGGCAGAATTAGTAGTTAAACCGGTGAACAAAAAGGCACAAGTTCAGCCAGAAGTAAAAAGGAGGAATTAAAAGGTGACCCTTTGCATCCACTGGTGTGAGTGACTTTGTGTGTGTGAAAAGAATAGGGATATTCTTATCTGTCATACTCGAGCCATTATATTTCATAATGTGTGATTTATTGAGCTTAATTAAAGAGGAATTAAATTTTATTGTAAAATAGTTAAACCAACTATGAAGGGTTCTTGAATTTGTTTATTTCATTTCTTACTTGTATGCTGCACAAATCCTCTCGAAAATAAGCCATAGTTTTATTGAAACACATGCCCAAACATATTTAAACAACACTTGCGTGAAATTACTGTCGGCAAAACAACAATTTGTCGACTTAAGTGCACTGCAGGATCCTTTCCATTTTAATGTCCTTGTTATCTTGCAGCATGACTTCTAGGTGAACTGGGACACTGCACCAATCACAGAGGTGAGAAAGTTTAACAGGCGTCACAGCTAAATGAATTCTAATGCATTAGAATAAGCATATGGCAGCAGCTGACATGGCTTCATCAGACATTGTGCTCCTCTTACCTTGATTCAGAAGGAGGCACAAATAACGAGAATCTCAGTTAAAAGGTATCTGGCTGAAAATTAAGCAACTAGATCCCAAGGAACTTGGGATATTTATTGATAATCGCACTTCACATCGAGAAAAAATTGAATGACAAAGTTGAGCATTACATGCTGTGTATAGCCCAATAGAATGCTGCATTTTTTTAGGCCAACAATATTTGAGAAAGCCATATGAGAAAATCTGATAAAAATACAATTATCCCTATTTTTTTGCTTCTTTAAGTATTAAGATGATATACAAAAAGTCTGACATTTTCCATGTGTCAAAGCTAACCTGTGGACAAATTTTGCAATGGTGTCACAGTTTCTAAATGACCTCAAATCTAGTTTGGCATTTTTATGCAGCAATTTCTTGTTACTGACTGACTATGCTGTTTTTAAGTGCACTAAAATGTTACTTTCCATTTATAAGTTTTATTTCTATACTAAAATTGAGTTCTTTGAATGTGGACATTGATTTAGTTGATATATTTTCGAATTTAAAGTAAGTGCAGTGCAGACAGAGTGCAGATCTACTTCAGCAAACAGAGACATTTGAGACAGTAACGGCTAACTTAAACGTTAAGTTCAGTCGTTTTGTCTCACTTGTTATCATTACTAAATTGCTTTATTCTATCAGATGGAACCCCCCACCCAAAACAAAAAAAATAACATCAGCGATTGGCCATCCTATACTCTAAATATTGGCATCAACATCAGCCACTGAAAAACCCACATTGGACGACACCAGATAATACATATAGTATCACTGCACACATACTGTACAGTGATACTGATAATAGAGTATATAGTAGATATATAGTGAGCACTGGGGCAGTAGGAAGGTGCTTTGGGGAGTCAGGAAACCAGTACCTGTGTGTCAGAGTGGGTTCTCATGCTTTGTGCTGGTCAGGTGAGGTCACACCACAGAGAGAAGGCAGGTGAGGGGAGGAGATGGGGGAGGGATGAAGCAACGGCCTGATCTCTACACTTAGGATAAACTTTAGTCAGATCCTGACTTACGGCAGCAGGACATGACTCATTGTAATTGCTGTTGTTTACAGGGTTGGGCAAATGTCCATCACTGTTTGTAAGCGAGAGTAACCAGATTTGGGAACAGCTGACGAAGCCCTACTGATTCTTCTCCAGCAGCTCCACGTGTCATCAGCTTTCATATATCATCGGCTGCTTACTGGGCATGCTCAGAACCAGACAGCAGCAGAAGCAAGTACCATAAATGTTTAGAAGATATAATCCAATCACCAATAAAACACTGGCCAACATTCTGATATGCAAATGGGGGCGTTGACCCTCACCATGCACTCTCCTCCCACTATTTTGCCTCAAATAGAGATGGCATACGCATAGCCACACATAATGCTGTTACCATAGCAACAGACCTGGAACAAAGTTGCGTGTGTTTTTTTTTTTTTTTCCCTTAAAAATTACTCATCTCAATAATTTTATCCTCGGTGTGATTTCTTCCAAATGAATCAAAGACATTTTCAACAAAGGACGATCACAGCAGAAGAGGGACATATATTACAAGTCGCTTGCTCACTGACACGTTATGACCAGATACTTTGCTATGATGTTTGTGGCACCCGGAAACTCTTCGCAGGTGACGCCCATTCCCCTGCAGTGTTACCTTGGCAACAAATACTTGCAGAGTGTCAGCATGTGTGTGTGTGTGTGTGTGTGTGTGTGTGTGTATGAGCGTGTTGAGCAGAGGGGCTGCTAGACTGCTCTGTGGGCGCCGGGGTTAAAGCTGTGGGCGGGCCAGGGAGCAGAAGGGGGGTGCAGGGGGGTAAGAGGTAACAGAAGCGGCAGTGAGAGAGGGATCACAGGGTGGATGGCGACACTTTTTTCTGGGTGGGGTTACCTGTAGTGGGGGTGCTGGAAGTGACAGTGTGGAACCTCTGAAAGAACAGTGAAATGCATTGAGACCGTCATCCTCGGCGACAGTCAATCTTCTTTTCCTCTTGTTTCTGCCACTGAATAACTACAATATCTCCCCCTCTACTGTCTTGTTGTCTAAATTTAGCCCTAGCTCAACCCCCCTTCACACTTTCAGTATCTTTACAACCTCCAACACTAGTTTCACACTGTTTCTATCATTCCTCATTACCTCAATCTGTTTCTACCCAGTAAAGCAACCCTAATCTTTGTCTACACCTAACTAGCAGTCTGTTTCTTTATTCTTTGTAATCCTTCTTGTTTCATCCTCATGTAAGTTTACCAAAGCTTGTTTCTTACCCATCTCCTCCAGCTCTGAAGTCATGGATTTGGATCGTAGGGCAATGGCCGGAGTGCTCAGCCTCTTACTCTGCTGGGGGACTGAAGAGAAAACGGCAGCAGTGGTCAGTCGACCGCTTCAGGAACACCTTCAGTTACAACCAGCAATCAACAGCAGCACTCCAGGGAGAAGAAGACACATTCTTACTTTTCTTCCTCGAACCCTCCTCCATGTCAGGGTTACGGGTTACCATGACAACCTTAACCATGAGGCTGTTGCCACCTTGCCGGATCATGTTGACGACCTGCCGATGACCAACCTTCACCACATTCTGACCGTTGACCTGGAACAGGGACACAGAGGAGGCGTTTACTGATGGTTTTGCAATACTTTCTTAATTGCATTGACAGTCTGACGCTGTGGCTACACTGAACACGTAACGTATGTGGAGCAGCTGCTACATAACTATGCTTCCACTGTAATCAATTAAACTGGCTACATTAGGCGTGCAAGCAATGCTTAAGTGGTGTGTATGTGCTGCTGCAAATGTAAAAAATAGGCCAGTTTTCTCATTATGTTTTTTTATGCAAGATTTACACTGCCCTCATACACAGAAATGGTCATTCAGTGTCTATTTTTGTTTGTTTGAACTACTGGTATACAGGAAATTAGTACTTTGTATGAAACTGTGATTATTTGTGGTTTAGAGTTTTTGGACATACATTCTAGTCTAAGTATATCTAAAGGCAAATGTCACAGTATAAGAAATAACTGCAGGTCTGCAAACTTGAACCATGAAATCATACTGTTGGTGTTCAGCCACATAGCCAGCTATGAGATCCCTCGGTACCGCTGCAGTTTTTTTTTCACCTCTCAGGCTGATGTTTTGCATTCATTTTCTGTGTAAATGGGAAGAAGAGTCACCAAAACTTAGCAAATTTTTTGTATGTTCTTGTTGATCCTCCCTAGAAGACCTATTTCAGCCTTTATAAAACAACTTTGTGTTTTTAAAACAGCACTCCCAGCACCAAAACAATACATTACAAGCCAATTAGAACGTATTCCAGACTGATAAGCAGCTGTGTTTCTGTCACATAATCAGAGAAGTAACAACAATAAGAGCCAACCAGCTGTGAGAAACCTTTTAGTGTCTTCTGGTATTCTGCTTCTTGTCAGTGTGATTTCATGTAACAGCACTGGTAAGCCTCACAATGTAATAGCTTTGAAATGTACATTACCTGTGTAATATGGTCCAACAGAGTTACCGCTCTCTATTTTGGTATTTCAACTAAGTTACAGTAGCCCAATCAAGGTTTGCCAGATAAGATTGGCTAGCTAGTGTGGGTCACCTCAGGCCACTATATTTTTTAACCCACTGATGTCCATAACATGAATGGAATAGTGTACTGATTTTACAGGGACAGTTCAAAATGCCTTAAAGGTGAGTTATTGGTAAGAAAGAAAAGACTGTTTTGTAGCCACACATATAGTAATAGCCTCCTAGAACACACTGTTTGCTCTCAAGCAGACCTTATTATTGGATTAGTTGATTTTAATACATTATCAATGCATCATTCTTAGTGCCAATAATGACAGAACAATGTCTGTATAACACTAATATAAAGGAATCACTGTTAAAAGACCTGTAAACAGATGAATAAAATATGAGTAGTAGAATAAAATATAAGTAGAAATGTACAGCTTTAAAGTAAAACCCACTCATTTACAGTTAGGCAGAAGTGTTTCTGTCTTTGGTTTGGCTGCTGCCTTTTTGTTTTGTTTACAAGGTGTATTCACTTCTAGTGTTTGTCTTTGGATTTATACCTGTAACTTGTGTGTTTTAATCCTGCCTGCAAACTTAGTTTCCTTAAGGATAATATTAAAGCTAAATCTGTCACTATATTTTTAGCACAAGGTGAAAATCCTCTGCAAACCAGATTACTTTGTTTTCAATCCTGTCTGTTTCTTAAGTATCCAAAAAATATATATATTAAAAAAACTTTAGTGGAATTTGGTAAACAGTATAGCCATGAAACAAGCTCAGGTGTGGCTTCACATGTTCTGTAAAAAAGAACATTTTGAACAGAACATTTTGATGAGGTTTCAGACACAACATTTTTAAATAAACTGCCTTACATGTGATAAAAATCCCCACATGAAAGGCTGATGCACCCTTGCACTTTGTGATTGCGATCTCTATGTCTGCAAACTCTCAGAAACACCAATAGGAAATCTGTCAGAGATTTTCAAACCTCATACTGCATGTGTAAATCAGGGTAGTACCTCTATGAGGAAATCTCCCATCCTGAGACCGGCTCTCCAGGCCACTCCTCCCTCGTCGACTGACTCCAGATACTGCAGGGCAGGGAAAGCCGGGGTGGGAGTAAACTCTTCGATCGGAGTCTGAGCTGGAAACACCATGAAAATGTGATAATACATTAACATAGCATGTGATACCATATATTCCATGTGATTAAAACTACCATACATGAGCCACTGAGCATGCCTGCAGTGCAAAAAGTTTGTTTTTATTTCACATCTCTTACCTTTGGCCCCTCTTAGCACAAAGCCGAAACCCTCGCTGTCTTTTTTCTGCAGAAGCACTGTCTTCTCCTTGATTATATAGTCACTAGCAGAGAGGAGACAGAAGAGAGACAAAGAGAGAGAGATGCTGAAATAACACATCCTGGCACATCAGTTTTAAAATCTGCATTGCTTTTCTCATGTCCAACCACACACCTCTTCCTGTGTCCCCCTTTGATGACATCACAACCAATACAAGGTAGAAAGTCATTTTAACTGTACATTGGATTGAAATTGAGCCTTTTTTATATATATAATTAAAATGTATCATGGCCTCCCTCCTATTTTAGTTTTTCTCATGTTGAATTGCTTTTGTAACTTTTCATTACCAATGCACTGTTACAATAATTGTTAAAAATGTACTGAATTGATAATTGTTTGTACAATAACTTTGATTTAGAGCAGAGCAGATAGAAAGGTGACTGTTGTCAAACAAGTTTTAAACTGATTATCAAAAAATGTTGCAGTTTCAGCTCAAAATTACTGCAATCAGCCAAAATATAAAGCAAACGCTAACCACCAATAAACTGCATTATATTTCATGATTGCTAAAGCACAGTGGCAACTTAAAGCAGTGTTTTGCTGTCCTTCAATTTCCTGTATGTTTTTGACAGAGAGCCCAGAGCTGGTTTCTACCAGAACCTCAGTAAGAGATGCTATATACAGTACGATGGTGCTGCTTGTTGCCTCAGCAACAGCTAGAACTGGACGCAGGGAAACTTGGGTAGGTCTACAGCAGAGCCAAGCTATGTAATGGTAAACTATTAGTCACTGACAGCAGAGAACAGGCACTGCATGCTCACAGGTGGAGCTCTTATAGCATGGTACACGTTCTGCTCTGCACTGTGGCACAAACAGATGGGAAATATGCAACTTGTGGTGGAATGCAGTAGTTCAGATTTACTCAAGTACTGTACTAAGGTGAGGAATTTTGCCTTCCATTTCCATTTTTGACTGTTTTTGACTTGTTGTGAGCAACATTTTAGGTGGAAGTGTATATTATATCATACTAGTTAAAACCTACTTTTCATCTAAGATTTCCCTCAGGTTAGAGAAACATGCACTGATGACAGTTTAAGTAATGGTTCTCAACCATTTCGGCTTGTGACCCCTTATGAAAAGCTTTGTCTGGTTGGGTTTTTTACTTTGCTTCACACGCCTGTGAGGAGTTTATCAAAGAGGTATTCACCCTGTTAACTTCTTAAATGGTTATATTTAAATAACTATTGAAAGCCCAAAGCAGTAGCGTTATCCAACAACTCAGAAAAAAAGCAAAGCTTACAGAAAACTAAAAAAACATCACAAATTTCAGAATTTAGGTGTTCTGCTTTCCTGATCTGTTAATTATCTCCATACCCATCAGACCTGCCTTAGAGAGGCACAAGCTCAAGTTTGGGAACTACTGAATAAAGTAATGAGGTCCACCCCTACCAGCTACACCAGCTACAACAGTACATTCTGTGTATTAATGCTTCAGTATTCAAAATCTAATAAAAAAAAAAGTAAATGGGGATATTTTTCTGTATCATTGTGTTTCAGCTTTTGATATTTTAATTACATTTTGTTACTGATACTTTTTGGATCATGAATACCGGAACTTGTTTTTAAAGGAATATTTTGACATTGTAGTATTTCTACTTAAGCAAACATTCCTCCATCACTGTAAGCAACGATGAAAGACAATCAAAATGCACTTGCCACAATCCATCAAGTCCTTCAGAAGGTGTGTTTTTAAAAAAAAACAACAACAAAGAAACATATCTGTGCAGCATGCATTCACAATCAGAGGCTTTTGTTGACCTCCTAACATTAGCGATCAGATGTGAGACATTTGTGACTCGGTGGGTTTAAACCACTTTGGACAAGCTGGGTAAAAGGAATCATCTCTAAGCTATTAGGGACTCTGGTCTTGTTATGAATGAAAAGGCCATATGAACAGCCATTCAGTCAGTCAGTGAGTCAGAGAGGTATATATACGGTGTCAGCTGTAACATACTGTAACCACATGCTGATAATCCCATCGTGCACCAAAATAGTCCCAGCCCACTCCATCTGTTCATCCCTCTCTCTTTCTCTCTTCACTGGCTTTTCTTCTTTTTACATTTTTCCATCCTGATGGCTACTCCATACTGCTCTCTAAATTGGCTTCCTGCCCTTGTTCTCCAAACTTCTAATCATACACTAACTTTCCTTCTAATCACATTTCCTCCTTTTTCATTCAGTCTATTGAGTGTGTGATGCTCTCCACAGGCTGTGAGAGCCTCTCTGTCTCTGCCAAAGCTCTGTCTCTTTGTTATTCTCGTCTTATTTTATCCATTGCTGCTTCCCATCCCAAACCTCTGAAGGACCAAGTTATTACACAGTGCACTGTACACATTAATACACTAACACATTGTAGAAGTGAATAGTGGCACAAAAAAAAAACACTATTCCCACACTTAAACAGTAACTATTTCACCTAAAAAGTAAATTGGCAGAATGGTACAATCAAACATCGGTAAATGCAGACACACATCAAATTCACACTGTAGGTGTTTCCAACTCTGTCCCTGCTGGCAACACAAGCAACAAGTTACTGGAGCCCATTCATTTATTAAGCTGAACTACAATGGAGATTCAGAGAAGTTCAGAAATTTCACCACCACCAACAAACATATTGTTAAGCAGGATTTAGGCTGATAAATAGTAGTTCTGCACAATGAAAATGAAAGTTGTGATTACCATAGAAGAAGTTTTAAATTCTACATGAGAGACTGTGTGAAAAAAAAAAAGTCTCAAAAATTACCCTTGAAGAACTATCGCATCCGTCACTGTGGTAACTAATAAGCTCTGAAGTAATGGTCTTGACTTTTTTGTTATTTAAAACAAATGGTGCCTTACAATTGGCTGGCCCAGCTCTACCAATCCATCAGCATCCTGTAACATTATGAAATGTGATAGGAAAACAGAAGAAAATGCAGGGTTTTCTTGATCAAAATGTTGAGGACCACTGTGGTAGCCCCGTCTGAACGGTCAACAGAGTGACACCGAGCACACCAAATCTTCAACAATGTAAAGTAAATAAGCTTAGCAACTGCTTTAAAATGTGCTTTTCATGAAGAGCTGGAGGATGTGTCTGATCATATGCATGTTGTGCTCATGCTATACTGACTCAGGGTGTCAGCATGTGCTTGTGTGAGGGATTGCATCCCATCTAACCTAACTATCTCTTACTCTAACTCATGCTCTGCTGTGTACAAGGATGTCATCAACTTTAAGTGACATTAGCTCCATCCCAGTTCAGTGGCTAGATCCTCTGAAGTCCAAATTTCAAGACCGAATACATCACAAATGGCCAACAAGGCCTGTCCCATTTCAAAAAGCTCCCAGAGAAGAAACGCAGCCGACTTTTGCTCACAAGCTGCGCATCCTTGGAAGCGTCAAGCGTCTCTCATTCCAAGATGAGCTGCTCAGTGGTTCAGTAGACTGTTCAGACAACATGTATAGTCAGGGAATGTTGCATAAGGCGGTCATTTAGCAGGGTTTGCATTCAGGTAGTCATCAGTCAGTAGTAAATATACTACATGCAGGATGGTGCAAGGTGTAACTCACAGAAGCCAGCAACAAACACTTGTTGTTAGCAGTCTAGTTGTGCAGAAAAACAGAACTTGAGTGTGTTTGCAATGTTTCTATAAAGTACTTTTCAAACTTGTACGTATCCCAGTTTATATTCCCACTTCTTGGGGTTTGGAAATTGTTCTAAAATCAAGTTGATACCTGAACACAACATTGGTGTCAGTTTCTGTGAGGCTCCACCATCTCATTTAGAGATGAAGAGCACATTGTGGACTGCATCCTTCAGCGGATCCAGCCACTGTCCTGGGATACAGAACTGTCATCAGAGAGTGACCAGGCTGGACAATGCAGCATGGTGTACAGTGTGCCACATACTGCATAGGTGAGAAGTCAAAGCATTAAACAGGTTTGGGGCAAGCAGGCTCCCATAGAGGTGTCAGAAAGAAGCTGGAACTTGTCATGCATGCTGCATCGTTAAAACTCCCTCACCATGCGCTGTTTCCTTTCTGCTGGCAGTCTCCCTCTCCCTATCTCCCTCTCTCTTTCACACACACGCACACACAGAAACAGTGGTAAACATACAGAAACACACCACACATAACACAAGAACACATGCATGAACTAGCCAAAAGAGGGGGGGGGGGGAAATTTGCCCTCCACACCTCTGTTTTTGTGATGGACAACAGCAAACACACACACACGGAGCACGCACACACACACACAGACACGCGCACACACACACACACACGCACACGCAGATATTGGCATGCATGCACACAAACAAACACGCGATCATTCTGCACATCACTAAAAGCAGCGAGCATCACTTCTGCCAGTGCAGCATTGCTAGAGGACATTTGTTCAGAGAGCGATTCAAAGAAGAGAGAGAAAGAAAAAACGACACACATACACATGTTCATACAGCGAAACACAGAACGACTGCACTGCTCATACGCCGGGCTGTGCAGCAGCAGCTCTCGTCCGTCTCCACACACATGCATCACACACTCAAGCACATCTGTCTGCAAGCATGCTTTGTAACATCTGTCAATCTATCTCATCGATCCTGCCCTGACATCCATGATGTCCACATGCATGCATCCCTTCCTCCGCCTCCCCCAACCTCCCCCCCCCGGCAACTGGAGGAAGAGAGGGAAAGAGAGGGAGGGGAGGATAAGGGGGGGTATAAAAAGCCATGGCAGGTACCTGTAAATGAACCAGACGCTCCTATTCACAGGGCCGAGCGACGGCCAGGAAGAAGAGAGGGAGAGGGAGAGGGAGAGATCCTCCTCGCCGCATGCCCCCATCGCCATTTCCTCCCCTCCCTCTCCTCCTCCTCCTTCTCCTGCTCCTTCTCCTTCTCCTTCTCGTCTTCCAGCGAGACAGCAGCGAGCGCGAGCCGCGAGAGAGGAGGAGGAGGAGGAGAGGAGGAGGAAGAGGAGGAGAGAGAGATGGAAGAAGGGAAAGGGAGAGGGAGAGGGCCGAGCTCTC